CTAAAGGGCCGCCCACACTAGCGAGAAAACGCGCGTGGCACGCCGATCGCGGCAAGTAACAAAATGTCGCCGAAGCACAGTCAGCGCCACGAGCGCGTGCAGAGACACGCCCTTTATCTTACCGCTTAACCGATTTATCGGCGCGCCGGGCGCGTTTTCTCGCTAGTGTGGGCGGCCCTTAAAGCGGCGCGATTTCTGCCGTCGCGGCGCTCTGGCCAGCACCAGCAATTCTGCGGCACGAGCGCCGCGACGGCAGAAATCGCGCCGCTTTAGGGCCAAAATCGCTGCATGTGAACTAGGCTTAAGCCTAGTTCACATGCAGCGATTTTGGCCCTAAAGCCTGTTTCACATGCAGCGATTTTGGCCCTAGAGCGGCGCGATTTCTGCCGTCGCGGCGCTCGTGCCGCAGAATTGCTGGTGCTGGCTAGAGCCACTCTATGTGGCAGCGAAGCTGCCAGAGTAGCGCCACGCTTTTCCCTGTGCCGCCTCTCACCGCGATTGGTCACACGAGGTACCATAGCAACGAGCTTAGCTGGCTCGGTTTCCGTAGCAACCGAGTGACGACTCGTCACGCGACCTCTCAAGAGCCGTGATGTCATCGGTTAGATGGCAGCGCCCAGAGCTGGTGGATGCGAGTTTGTTCGGTGCGCGGAGTTGTGATGTGCCGCAGCTTGCCGACGATTTAGGGCTTCTTCGTGCTTTCTGACGTAGGTATAACGTGAAGATCTGAAAGAATGATACTTTATACCCTTTCTGTGCAAGATCGCTCTGTATATTAGCACCTGTGCGACAGCATCAGCAATATCGCCTTAGCGGTGCTCGGGTTTTCGGATGTGTTTGAGGATCGATAAGACATTTAGCATTCAATTTTCGCATTCTCTTAGCTCTATTTGAACGTTGGAGAGTCTGAGAATCGATGCGAAATCTATGCGTCGCATGTTGGGCCTTGGGGAATTTGTTTTTGCCCCAGGTAACCGCATGATCACAAACTTCTAGCGAGGAAGCTCCTGCGATGCTTACGTTTTGTACTAATCAACGAGGGAACCTGGTTTCAATCACCACCCGTGCCCGTTTCGATTTGGATGAGCATCGTACCGGCCTGCGGTTGTGCATCACTACTGCGTTGTGCACGTTAAAGACCTATAGACCCAAGGCTAGCGGTTATACTGCATTGGCTAAATTGCTCATCTACAGCGAGTGACTCGTCGCAACTTTGAAATGGCTGACCAACTACACGCTGTATAAATATTAACACAGCTCCCAAGCATACTAATCAACGATTTTACGATATGCGCAGCGCAAGTTTGTCTGCTTCTTTTAGTAGGGGTTGTGGTGACGTCAGAACGCCGAGCTCTGGTTGGTTCTGAATACAGAATAGTGGGTAGGCCTCAAGGCAGCTTGCTTTTAGGCCTACCCACTATCCTTCAATCGGAGTCACTCAGATCTCGGCGTTCTGACGTCACCACAACCCCTGCAAAAAGAAGCAGACGAACTTGCGCTCCACATAGCTTTTAGGATAAAATTTTCGCACTTTTCGAGCTTCCTTTGAAATCGTAATTTCTGAGAATCATAACGAAAGGTATACGGCGCTTTTAGGGCCTAGGGGAAATTGTTTTAGCCCTGGGTCACCGAATAATCACAGCAATTCTTAGCGAGGAAGCTCCTGCGATCTTTAACCTTTTTTACTAATCGCCAATTTTACGAATTGGCAGTTTTGAAGATTTTGATATAACTTGCTTTCGTTGCAATAGCTTACATTTGATCGTAGTGTTTTTTGGTTTGTTTTTCAAGTGAAAAACCGGCGTTTGCTCAAGTGACGTATATGAAATGTCCTGCTATATAACAGTGCATCAACACACACTATTATACTTAGATGCTCAGAGGTGTGTTCGTCGTTGTAATGAACATGTTACAGACGTATTTATTTCTTACGAGTGTAATATTTATGTTCTGTAGCTGGTCCCGTTTTGTGCTCCTAAATGTCAGTGTGCTTGGCTCCAAATATCCTCTTTACAATGCCTACAAAGACCAAAATGACGTCAGCCGACCCCAACTCACGCATTGGACACAAAAACTGCGTCGCTCGGATGTGTGCGCTCGTCAGCAATCAATTCGTCCATGGATATTTGAATTCGCTTTCCTGGCCAATGAGTGTCCTGACAAAACTTATCATCACTTGCGAATGCCAAGGTGTGCTTAAAAAGCACGGTGAAAGCTTGGGGTCATCGCACCGGTGCCCTACCATGTCACGACTGCGTGATTTCATAGTACTCTTTTGAGTTGAGGATTACAGTTAAGGAAGAAGAAGTTTAAAAATAATTTCGTGGCCCCTTTAACATGGATATGTGTGCTACACCAGATAAAAATATTGACTTTTTGAATGCCGGTAAACTTCCGAACAACCATTTAGCCTATCGGCAAGAACATTTCATATCCGGCGTCCGTCTCTTTTGATGGCGTCAACGATTCCCTAGAGGCCACCATGCCTTCCTTCCTTGGTTGAACCCCGTCGACGTCGCTCCTCACCAGTCCGTGAGAAAATCTCATCTTGAAGGGATGATTGGGTCTTGAAGGAGTATGATGCTAAACATGTACTCGCTCACTACGGGGCAGTCGAGCAGCGGTCATGTCCCGAGCCAATCGTCCTGTCGTGGCCGGCGTAATCGGACTTTGTTCCATCGGAGCGAAGTCCGAAAGTACTAGGACGGTACGTTCGTCCCACGAAGCGGCCGCCATCCCTGCGGCGCCGAAACCCACTCGCCTTGTCCGTGCAGGTACGATACCATAGCAGCATTCGTCGCCCGACAGTCCGCGGGCTGCAAATCGTCTCACTTTTCAGAAAAAAACCGGCACCATTCCTCCAGAGGTTCTTGCCGTACCGCGATGCCAAGCGTCTTATACCAATTCTCAATGAACGAATGGAGATATCAACTAGACTACAAAGGCTTTCCGCGCGGCGTCGCTAGAAGCACGGTTACCATGGCAACCTCCCAGGCCCAAAATGGAGATCACCATCAGCGCTTCTGACGTCGTGCATCTAGATAATTTTGCGTCGTGTCGCTACTCTGGCAGCTACGCTGCCATATAGAGTGGCTCTAGTGCTGGCCAGAGCGCCGCGACGGCAGAAATCGCGCCGCTCTAGGGCCAAAATCGCTGCATGTGAAAAGCCTAGTTCACATGCAGCGGTTTTGGCCCTAGAGCGGCGCGATTTCTGCCGTCGCGGCGATCTGGCCAGCACCAGCGGTTGAGCGGCACGAGCGCCGCGACGGCGGAAATCGCGCCGCTCCAAGGCCAATATCGCTGCATGTGAACTAGGCTGCTTAAAGCGGCGCGATTTCTGCCGTCACGGCGCTCGTGCCGCAGAATTGCTGGTGCTGGCCAGAGCGCCGCGACGGCAGAAATCGCGCCGCTCTAGGGCCAAAATCGCTGCATGTGAACTAGGCTTAAGCCTAGTTCACATGTAGCGATTTTGGCCCTAAAGCCTGTTTCACATGCAGCGATTTTGGCCCTAGAGCGGCGCGATTTCTGCCGTCGCGGCGATCTGGCCAGCACCAGCGGTTGAGCGGCACGAGCGCCGCGACGGCGGAAATCGCGCCGCTCCAAGGCCAATATCGCTGCATGTGAACTAGGCTGCTTAAAGCGGCGCGATTTCTGCCGTCACGGCGCTCGTGCCGCAGAATTGCTGGTGCTGGCCAGAGCGCCGCGACGGCAGAAATCGCGCCACTTTAGGGCCAAAATCGCTGCATGTGAAACCCGCTTTAGGGCCAAAATCGCTGCATGTGAAACCCGCTTAAAGGCTGGTTCACACATCTGCGTTGGTTGCGTTCGCAAGCAACGTAAACGACCGTAACGACAAAGTCACCGGGAGAAGTGTTCGCCGTACACAGCATGGCAAGCTATGTAAGGGGTAGCTTCGCGAAGCAATTCATGAGTCACCGTTGTTGCGGTGTTTTGCCGTTACAGTCGTTTCGGTTGCATGCGAACGCAACCGTTGCAAATCTGTGAACCAGGCTTTACGGATTTATTCGGACCGAACACAGAAGAGAAAAAGAAAGAAGATGTATTGAAGAATAACGCGACAGATCGGACAACACAAAGAAAAAGAGGTGAAAGATAAACACAGTAGGACACAACAGGAACTACGAAGGGTGGCATCACCCTAAACGGAAGGCTATTGAGACACCCTAGATCTTGCTAAGCGTTCGCCGCATGCATGACGGTGCCATAACTTTAGTTCACAGGAGGAAGACGGTAGTGCACGAGAGGGCTCGACCTGTCTCGTGCTCTACACGGTAGAGCTCCAGCGTTGTTGTCGCACCAGCAGAAAGACTATACTTCATCTCACCTTAGAATGGACTATTGTTAGCCACGCGTGCTAAAAGCGCGAGCTAGTCGCTTTGAATGAAGCCGCGGCGGCTGCACGAGCGCTCGTGAAGCAAGTGCTCTAGTCAAGGCAGTCAAGGCTGGCCGCTCGCGCTAGCACAGCCTTCGCAGTTAGTCCATGCTAGGGTGAGACGAAGTATAAAGTTTTCTAGATGCATTGCGTCACCAGTGGCGAAGGGAAACTGGCTGGTGAGATCGGTCTACTAGAGTCAGATAGAAGAAAGGGTCGGGTTAAAGAACCTTGATCAAATTTATGCTTTCAAGTATAGCGAACCATTGTTGTGGGAATGCACAAGACACGTGCCATGAGCGGGTGCTCCGCCGCCATTCACTTCCAAGGGACGCTCATTTCAGTGCTGCGCCGCCTTTTGCTTCCAGGGGACTCTCGAGACACGTGCCTCCTGCACTGTCGAATTTAATGCTACTTGCAAGACAAACGCAAACACAAGGGGCTTTAGGTCGGGTGTAGAACAAACAACGAACTACTAGTTAATTAAATGCGAGACACACCTACAACCCCCGATACCAACTGCGCCAATAATGCAGAAACATCCTTCAGACTTACTCTTAACGTTCCAGTCGTTTGTTTGCACATGGAAACGCAGCGCACTCCAGAAATGATTGCTGGCGAATCGCTAAAGGTGCGTGTGTTTTAGACAAGCCTTATAATACAGTGTTGCCTATGGGTATACATACCCGGGGTTGGTAATATTAATATTAATTCCTGTTGGTCGTGATTTTATTAGGCGTAGGGTCAGAGTTCACTAACACTATGCACTATTCCCCAAAACGATAATTTACTGTTGTCCGGATAGGATTTTTTTTGTGCTTTTGGGCTATTGTTATTTTTAAAGAGTACCTTCATGTTAGCATGAAATTCGCCTAGCGTTAAAAAAAAAAGTGGACAATAGAACTCAGGTATTCCACCACTCTCAATCATCACCATTATGTACCGTTAGCGGCAATTTTAAGCTGGTTCAGTTTATTGCTAGCCGAAAAGTGTAAAATGTCGCAACGCCAAGCTATACAACCGATTGCGGCATTGCTACAATAGAAAATGCTGCACTTTATTGTAGTCTCCTTTGAAAGAGATTAACGTATCTTGAGCTCCCCGCATGACTATAGCAGCTCAGGCCTGATCGCCTCTCTGCTAGATTAAATTGCCCTATACTGCACGTCGTCTACACTTTTCTTGTCCCTGGAAATATTTCATATACAAAAATTTTTTACTCGTACGTTAGACTTGGCGCCTGCAAAGATGATCATCTTTAGTCCTGCTTAAGTAAAGTTTTGTTACGCGTTTTAAAAGTTCTACCATAGCACGTATAACGCTCATGACAGAAACTTCTCACCCCTCTAGGGATGAGAGGTGTCGCCTAGAGGAGGCACATAAGGCGACGAAGCGTAAGAATTCTATTTAGACTGAACCTCTGCGTTGCTGATTTCAGGCGGAGGCCCAGCTGAAGAAGCGAAAGGAAGAGAAAGAAATCGAGGAAACCCAGCGGGCTGGCTCCATAAAAAAAATTGCGGCTTCCGGGTGCTTTCTCGTGTTCATTGGAGTCGTAGTATTCTTCGCCGTTCATGCGAGCAAGATACGAGGCAATCCCCAAGCCCAAACGAAGAAGATGTGCACCACAATAGACTGCGTTCAGCACAAGTTTCTGCTCCAAGAAGGAATGGACGCCAGCGTGGATCCATGTGAGAACTTCACGGCCCACGTCTGCGGTAACACCAAGTGGGCCGACGTGATGGTGTCCAGCACAGAACAATACATGATGACGAAATGGTTAAAGAACGGGGCGCTCTACATGAGTAGCGGGATATTTAATTTTCCTGTCACGAAGAAGGCGGAGGCTTTGTTCGCCAGCTGCAAGAACACGCGAAAGAGTGAAATAGAAGATATGAGAATATTTATGCGAGAGCGAGGTCTGCCTTGGCCCAATAAGGCAGTCACGTCAAGGCATCCCCTGGATGTTGTTTTAGATCTCTATATCAACTGGGGGGTCGTGTTCTGGTTTGAGATCAGTCTTCCCACCCTGCTGCCGGGCACAAGAAGCAGTATTTCGTTTTCTCGCTCAGGCAAAGCAAAGTTTGCTCGAGAGCGCATGCTTGACGTCAAGAGCAAAATGTCGGATATCGTTTACGCAAAGCGCTTTTATGACATCTCCAATACCAAGGTACTGAACGAAAGCGACTTGGTGACACTACTTAAAAACGAGGATGCCATTCTTAATATCCTTGTTTCGAATATTCCACCAAAGCGAAAAATAATTTTGATGCACCAAATTGAGAAACTGACACCAAATATTTTGAGAGATGAGCACTGGATTACGTATCTTAACCTTCATTTGGGTTCCTACAAGCTCGGCGCAGAAGATAAGGCACTCCTCGAAGACCAGCAGCTTCTGATCGACATAAATATGCTATTTCATAAGTTTAGCCACGCCGAACTTTTAGACCACCTCGGCTGGTGGTTTGTTCAAGAATACCTTATTCTTGCTTCGTCCGAGGCATCGAGCGCTCTGCACGCCTACGAAAATTCGCGAGAAAGTTATATCGCTTACGACTGCTACGCCGAAGTAGAAAACCATTACAGGAATCTATTGTTTATGGAAAGAAAACTCGCCAAAGAGAGGGGCGGGAAAGATACGAGAATTCCGCAAGAGATAATCGAACATACAGTTTCACTTTTAGAAAGAAACAAGACCTGGGCCTTCGGAGAAGGCAGCCGAGAGGCTGTCAAGAAAGTCGTCAGGGAGATATCTCAGCTACCGCAAATTCCCGACTCCGACAGCGGCGAGAGCAACCGGCATTATTTTGAGACCATGTATAACTCATACCCTTCGAGCGAAAGATCTTTCATGAGGCTCTGGATGGCCACTGCCACAGCCCACAAGAACGCATCTGGCTGGCCGCTGAACGACACGCTACTGCGGCGACCTGTGACAAGCTCTTCCATCGTTGAGTATGACATGTGGCAAAATACTCTCTTCGTCACCCAGAGCGTGTACAACCCACCCGCCTTCTACGAGAACGGGTTGCAGTCAATGAACTATGGAGGACTGGGGACCCTGATAGCCTTGCAGGTCGTCAAAGCGTTAAACCGTAAGGTAAGTCACTATTTTTCCCATCTTAAAGGCAGAATCACCTCCACTTTCGGAAGCTCCTGAACCTCTACCGGCAAGCGACGTACTCGGAGCATCAGTCATTTGACCTCGTTTAATCCCCTTGAACTGAGGGGAAGGGTAATGGGGTCACGTGGTTCAGTGAACACCCTCGTGACACTGGCGCTGCATAGTCAATGGGTTGTGGTTCTTGGTCAAAATTTTCAGTGAAACTTTCGTTAGAAAATACCGTTTTGTGCAGCACTCAGTATGGTTCCTCCGGCAGAGAACAGTTATTGAGAGAGGCGCTGCATGATTATACTGTTCGCTAGATTGTTAGACGTACAAGCAATGCATCACAAAATCCGCCCGAGTGCGCCTGCTAGTGCATATCAATGCTCTGAGGACCACTTACGAAAATACATTATTTTATTATTTCATTTATATTCTCTTAGCGGTGTCAAAATTGGCTCATATGGCTTCACCGGATCGCACATCGGCTGCGGTCGGGGCGTAAAGTGAAGCGAAGTGCAACCCACTTATAACGATACCACGTACAAGGATGTACAGCTTATAATGAACAGTTTCTGTAGCTTCTAGACTAGAAATAAGGATCGCTTTCTACTCCTGTTACGGCGAAAATAGGTAATAACTATCGAAATTTCGTGTTTTTCCACGTGATCGTTATAAGCGAATTGCACGGTATACGTTTGCAGGATCGTTATTAACCTACCCGAACCACCTATACTTCGTTTCACCACAAATTTAGGCGCAGTCAATGCTACGACCCGAGCGAATCAATCAAGCACCGCCATTTTGCAACATCACGGCGTTCATAGTATTCCCCTACGCGTGCTACTATCGGATAAACAAATCAAGTCCGGTGAATTGTGGCGTGACTTCGCACCTTCGGGAAGTGCGTGTTCATGGTTTCGTGTGTCCTAGCTAGATGTTCGCGAATATTTATTGGCATCAAAGAGCGCTCCATCGTTCGCTGCCTTCACGTCAGCGAACCCTGTACGCTGTAGCTCCCCTCCCAGTGTTGGAGTGAGTTAGACATGGTCTGCGCTATTCGGTTCGTAGCTGTATTCGCTCATCTCGAGTCAGAGCGACAGCCCCTAAACAGGAGAGCTTTGGTGATGGATTTTGTACCGCGTCACTAATGTAGGTTACCAGATGGGAATACACTGGACACGGATGCTACATCTGGGTTCGCGTGGAACTATTGTTCAATCAGTGAGAACACTGGTCCCTCCCAATGCTGATGTCGCAGTAGGGTCCCGTACGTCCCTGCCTTAGAGGGGACTCTTTTAGTGGTTCCTGATATTTCAGGACATCTGCTCCCTTTTTTAGGAGATGCTGGTTCCATCCGGTGACTGCACGCAGACTGATGGCCATAACTTTAAAACAAACTTTGATAGTAATAAATTTTTTTTTTTTTTTGCGCGAAACTTTATTTTTTTGGTTAGTTGCTCCGGGTTTTGTGAAGCTGCTTTTCGTGAAGCCGTGGCACGTGGTGACCCATAATGCAACCCGCGCAGAGACCTAGATATCAATTCAGTTACTCAGCTAAATTTAGCGGGGAAGTTGAATTAGTGTATAAGTCACTTGACGTCAGGTCCCGTGACGTCGATTTCTCCGCTCGATTTAGCGGGAAAATTAACGTTCCGTCACCTACACACCGAATGAATTGCCCCGCTAAATTTAGTAGGGGAAATTCATGTCACGTCACGTCACGTAAGCTATACGGCCAATAATTTATGGTCTAAATTTACTGGGAAACCTAACGCCACGTGACCCACACACGAATTAATTTTCCCCGCAAAGTTTAGCGGTGAGATTAACGTCACGTGAACTTATGTCCCGTGATCCTCAAACGCTTTATGTATGCAGCACAATTGCCGAGAAATTGGCCATGGTACCTCTTTTATGCATGTGCATGCTTCAAGAAAGTTTTAATACAGTTTTTTTATAAACAGCATGACAGGACCGTCATACAAAGAAGAGGCGCGCCTCATATATTCTGTGCAGACTTACTTCTTATGAGTGTGACTGCTGTCGCTACGGTTTACCTGGCTCTCGTTGCTGTGTCCATATTATCACTAATATTATTGCCCGACTCCAATACGAATTTTGAAGAACCTTTTTATTCTGTTCTCTGCGCAGGATAGCCAGGTTGAACCATCCTGGAACCCGATAGACAATGTCGGAGAAGGTCTTGGAGCACGGCCGGCGTGCCGTAACGTTGACCACAGAGTGCTCTTGCAAATCGCTGCCGTGCAAGTCGCATTCAGCGCTTACCTGGCCGCTGGAGGCGAAAAATCGTCCCGTCTCAAATATCTCGAGAACTATCCGCTCGATCAAGTGTTCTTCTATAGCCACTGCAAGACGATGTGTGGACAAGGAGACTACTGCAGTGATACCTTGAGGCACCTTGGAGCCTTCGCGAAAGCCTTCGATTGCCCAGACAATTCTTACATGAATCCACCTCAAAAGTGCACATACTTTGATTGACATTGTCCCACAGGCGTCACGTTTCCGGGGCATATAAATCTACAAGCTCTGGGACGCCTTTTGTTGTCAGTGAAGGAAAGTAATATAGGTTCCCCGGCAGACAACAGGAGCTGAAACAACGGATCTGACCATTTTTGGCGTCCGCGATTTCGACTAGCACTATTATTTCTTATATTTGATAAAGCGTCAAAATTATGGGCCCTCAACTCCGCATTCTATTTCCAGTTCGGACAACAGTTCTGTCAAGAACTGGCAGGTATGCCAAAGGATGATGAAGGACTTTTTGAGCTCAAATTGTTCGCGATAGTGCGTGTTGTGCTTCGGGACACACTGCGAAATATAAATCACAAATGGGGGCTGATTGAAAAGTTATGAGACCGAATTTTCTTTTTAAAAGTAGAATTCTTAAAAATCAATATATTCATTCGATTGTTTAAAGGGGTGATGCAACAATTTTTGTACTTTGTGCAAATACCACTTAGAACGGATCCCTGACGCTAATGACCTACGAAACACGCGTTCGTTTTTCGCCCCACGCAATAGAAGTCCAAAAAAAAATTAAAGAAAAACGAGCATCGTTCTACCCCTCAACTCGCAGCCAGAACAAACGGCCACGTGACCTGGAGCCGATTATATGCCGCCAATGTTGATCATAACCCCGCGCTGGGATTGGCAAAGCACAGGACACGCGCTGAGTTCGAGACATTGTTATGGCTCGGCTATTGTCGTCATTGCAGCGATTGGACACGGACCCCTACCCGAATGCTTCTCGAGCTACTAATTATCACGAGCCCAAAGCGAGTGCCCACGGATTGCTCGGGTCGCATCTATGAACCGCATTCAAATATCGTCATCGGGGTGTACTGTGGTCCCCACGTTACGTCATCAAATTTCACAAAGGAGAGACTGAATGAAAATGATCGCTTTTGTCCTTAAAATTACACCGCAACAAAGGAGTTTCTAGGTCAATGGCGTTGCGTGCTAGTATCCTTGAGTCCCACTAGTACCAGTAAGCTCGTGTAAAGTGAAAAATATTCCAATTGAATATCGTTGCACCACTCCTTTAAAAAAACCGCTAGAAACATAATTTTTGGCTAGCACTTTCAGCAAAAGCACTAGCGAGTTTGTTCACTTCATGGTATCAAGAAAACTTCATTCTACGCAGTTTGTTTAAATGTCTTTTCAGCGTTAGAAATGGCCACTATTTACAAGGGTGTACGTTCGATCTATATAAAGGGTATTGCAGTCCAGCTACCCCTCATTAAATGTTATTTTAAAATTCAATCACGCATTTCTGCCTTACTCTCACATGCACGCCCTCGCCATCTTCCATGACAACACGTGCGAGGTGCAATCGCTCGCTGGGGCACAACGCTAAAGGCTTCTATGGACTGACTGGAGGCGCAGACATGTGGATGAGGATCCTTAGCAAACCTCAACACTAGTGCCACTAAATAAGCTACGCTTCAGAGCAACGACGCTTGGCCATATTGTGTCTTAAAACCATGGTTGCCAGTTATCTGAAGCTTCATCTGAAATCACAGGAAACGCTTTTCCACCCTCCACAAATGTTTTAACAGTTCGCGACAGAGCAAAGCAATATTACATGAGCTTCATTACACCGAATCTAATGCTGAGGAAATCGCACTTTGGAATAATGAAGACTGGCAGCTGCGTCTGCTCTGCATACGAGCCAAAATGGCGGTGCCCACAATAATGTCGTGGAACGGAGTACCGATACGCTAAGCGCAGCTCATTTAGTGGCTCTACTCCGCACAACACTGCTAATCTACCAACTATTAAAAACAACAAGAAACAACAACAACAAGGAGACTCATTACTTCTCAATCAGCCCTCGTATCTTCGCAAGACTTAAAGGAATATAGACCAGTTCATAAATATATAACTTTATGTAATATCGAGAGCTGTAGCGTACATCACGAATGTTTTCTAAGCTGAGTATAAACGGATGCCACCAAAGACATTTCCGTAAACTTCCAGTTTACGGAAACGCAACTATCCCATATTGCACTGCACGAAGGGGGAATTGTGGGGCTGTTCCGATATACTCTCGGGCCGATTTGGATGAGTCATAGAGCCTAAAAGAAGCACAATTCAATCTGCTAAAATTGTAAATTCATAACACAAGCACACACACACTTAAAAACAATAACAAAAGCAACCTGTACTAATTTTTTGTTTTTTTTTGTTTTCTGGAATTGGAAAATGCAAAACCATCATCGACTTTGTCTTCTTTAACTGGGTAGTGTTTCGCGAGCTGTAAATTAGATAGTCATAATACGCCAAGCAGACGGCGGGGCATTACATATTCGCAAGCCTGCAACCCACCGAAGATGTCTTCGGTGTGCACGATGCACATGTTATAGGCTCGTCGGGATCGGCAGAGCCGTGTTTGCAGAGAGTTTGGTCAATGGGAGGCCCGGGCAGAGCCAGACTTGCACCTGACGGAGAAAGTGGGCTTGACGCAAGGCCACCTTGGACAACCAGAAGCCTAAAAGAATCCCCTAGTGGTGGTAGCGAGAAGCTGTTTTGGTCCAAGGTATGGGAATGTTGGTGTTTGGTTTTAATAAGCTCCGAAGAGTGAAGTGTAGTAACCCTTTGTGATTGAAAATAGGATGCACGTGATGTTTCGATCATTATCATGCAGAAAGATGTAAGAAACGAGTGCGCCGTTCAACTCTGTTTTGCTCGGATAAAGTGTGGCTGCTCGGACGGCAGATTCCCGGTCCTCGGAGCTTGGCGTACGGATTATGTCGATCGTTTCGCTTGTCACAGTCTTCCGCCATGATTTTGGATGATCATGATTGAAACATCATGTGCACCATATTGTCAGTCACAGAGAGTTACTCCGACGCCCTTATCAGGTTTGTTTCTCGCGACCACTACCAGGGTATTATTTCAGGCTTCTGGTTGGCCCGATTAGGATTTGTGAAGACGCCCTGGAACATGCCCAGCTCGCTTTCGGCCAATGGCGCCTCTTCCATTTGTCTCCTATACTTTCCAACGAATGGCCAAACTTTCTACATATACGGCTCTGGGTATCGGTTGTTATTGCGAGTAATCACAGGCCAACGTTGTCACAGGCGGCCATAACTGAATGTGTGACTGCGAAGCGCATGCTGATGGCGAGCTTCCACAGTTTTTTTAAAACGTGCTGTTCCACACCATCGAGATTGCCGGTCTTAGCAGCCAATTAATGTGAGATCGTTCTGAGCAAGCGCTCCAATCAGCGCCCAAAAATATGGCGTCGAGTAAACACCCCTTATAATCAGTACCTCGGCGAAGGCGTTCGAATAGTGGCTCGTGTAAAATCGCTCTTGGTCGCTAGTCTCGTCAAGCACAAAGCTGGGGCCGAAGTTTGCGGAGCGCTCTGATTGGACCGTCGCGCTGATGGAGTCACGCGGTACGAGATGTCAATCATCCAAACTGTCTCAGTGCTCAAATTCCGGCAAGAGTGTGGGACACAATGTCGTAGCAAGCTTCATAGGAGCGCGCGCGAGCAATACCGTGGGGCCAGCCGATTGAACGGCTGCGCTGATGACGTCGTTCCGGCGTGTCCCTACGTCCGCGTACGCCGCCATGGAGACTGTGCTGTCTAGATTGTCCCTAAGCGCGCTGCGAATACTTTGAACTTTCTCGTCGCTAGACTTGTCGTCTGTGAAAGTTATCGGTGACAACAAAGTGACGTTTACGACTTTGGGAGGGAGTTATTTGAGGCCAAAGCCTTCGCTTTGGAAGCAGGGCGAAGATTAAACTTTGATATTATGGGACCGTGCGCGGTGTGCGCGGCTTTATAAACCCCACAAATGTTTGCAGCAAAGGGAAAGGCATAGGTGCGTGCGCCGTTACTTCGTATTACCTCAGAATGGACGAACTGCGAAGGCTGTGCAAGAGGGAGCGGTTAAACCTTGACAACAGTACCAACAGTACCTTCACAGCCTTAAGTGGAGCGCTCGCTGCACGAGCGCTCGGGCAACCACCGAGGCTGCATCCATAGCAACTATAGCTTGCGCTTTTAGCGTGCTCGACTAACAATAGTCCATGCAAAGGTGAGACGACCGGCTATGTTCCAAATCTTACCCCAGTAACCTGTCTCTTACGTTAGCGTGTAATACCAGGTGACATCGCGAGTAAACGATCCGCGCCTCGATTTCGGAACGGCCGGGATAACCACCTGGATACTACGCGGATTGGCTTCGTTTTAGATTACGGAAAAAAAAAAAAAAAAAAAAAACACAGCAACGATGGTAGAAAATATATCATCATGGAGAAAGCACTCGAAGAGACGATGATGTTAATGACGACGCGGTGTTTTCTGAGGGGGCTCCACCAGCTCTTTTTCCTCTCCTTCCATTTGGGCTGTATATTCAGATGAAAATTAATTACTTCTTTCAGTTTGACATCAAACACTTGTTTTTACTAATCAGCGCGATCACAGAAAATCTAGATCAGCTGCCACAAAGGCATATGTTCTACGAATCGTAATTTGCATCGATTAAGTTATGCGTAAATTGCTTCCACGCGGTGTAGCGGTAGAGTGCTAAGGTTTTCTCAACATTTATATCTAGCTGACGTTCGCTTTGACGCAAGTATGATCACAAAATGAGACAGAAAACTTCCTTGGGGAAGGAGACGGGGAGGGGTTGTTGACTTATATAAGAAATCTTCCAAGCCTTTACTGCTTTGAAAGCGCTATCCTCTCATTACCCCCTTTGGGCGAAACGAAAGTACTTCCACATCATTTACTGCGTTGCACCGTTCTCAGTCTTGCACGTGAGAATGCGGCCTTCCCTTCAACGCCGAAGACGAGGATGCGGAGAAGCTACTGTCAGATATAAAAGCAACAGTGAATATACTGGGGAAGAGCATAAACAAACGTCTGTGGGACGACGCCGCCGATCAAGGGACACGGCTACGCACTATCGACCCGCACCTAATGTTTCATGTACCTCGACGTCTCACCCGACGGCGTCAAGCTG